CTTTTGCAGGAAGCAATTAAATGCATGCGCCATTCACGACGGACTGTTTTGATGGCTGATGATGTTGATAGTGCTCTTAAACTACGGAATGTGGACGTATGTCTATAATTTCCAGTAGGATACGAACTACTAGGGTCGATTACCTTTTGCAGTGCCTTTTAATTTTTCTGTTGATTGTAATTTTTGAGATGGTTTCACCAAAAAGTTTCTATATTTTCTTATAATTTTGATATTTTTCATTTTTCTTATCTTCAATTTCATGGATTATCTTAAACTGCAAAGCTAACATGTTAGGAGAGCTTCTCTGTCTGTGCAAAAATTAAATATAATTCATGATTAGTTTTCTTTGGGAAAGTTCTTTTTTTCCTCCTGCTAGCAAGATTTTGGTGTATGCAAGTGTACATCTCTATATATGTTCTGCATGGATATGTGATTGTCTATTTGTTTGTGCTGACTTAGCCAAGTTTGTAAAGTCAAGCTTTTGCTTTCATTTTCTAATATTGATCTTTTCACCTGTCTCAGCCGATATATGGCTTTGCTGCTGGTGATCCTCTGCGGTTCAAACGAGCTGCTGGACATAAGGATTTATTCTACATAGATAACAAGGATATTGAGTTTAAAGATGTATGCAATCATCAGCCATGCTAAAAGTTCCTTTTGAAGTGAATGTGGCAAAAGAAGCCTCATATGTTTTGTTGTTTTTGTACCTGATATATGCAGGTCATTGACGCATCCTTCCCAAAAGCACCACTTGATACATCTATTACTGCTCACTGGCTTGCAATTGAAGGCATTCAACCTGCAATTCCAGAAAATGCTTTGGTTGAAGGTATCTCTTCTTAATGAATAATGGATGAAGGACTGTGCTTTTACTTAACTGGTTTATGTAGAAATATGAATGTTGAACCTCCTTTTCTCTATCCAAAGGATGTAAAAGTCATCTCTGCAAAATAGAAGGCCCAAAATATAAAAAAAAAAAAAACCATCTTGCTTGTGTTTATAGTTCAATTTGATTTGTTTGATGTGGAAAAGTTGGCATCAGATAGCCTCATGATGTCTTTTTTTTTTTTTATTTATCTCTCATGATGGTATTTAGATAGGTATTATGCCTTGATTGCAGCACCTTCTGATGGTAAGAAGGCTGAACACAAGGAAGATGGATATTTAGTTGATGTTAAATTACCAGTTAAGCATGTATTATCTAGGGAACTTCAGGTATGTTCTATATATAAAAACCTGCATTTCATTATTATTATTATTATTATTATTATTATCATATTTCCATTTCAAGGAACAATAATGTGGTTGCCTTGCAGCTTTATTTTGACAAAATTGTGGAGCTTACTGTGAATAGATCAGGCTCTACCATCTTTAGACAAGCTTTACTGAGCTTGGCAACAGACTCAGGGCTCCATCCTTTAGTCCCTTATTTCACATGCTTCATTGCTGATGAGGTGATCTTGAGTATCTTTTAAACTGCATCAACATAAATGTAGCATGAATGTATAATTGGCTGTTTTGGGTTTACATTTTTTTTTTTTTATATTTGTGTACCAGGTTTCCCGGAATCTGAATAGTTTCTCTCTGATGTTTGCTTTAATGCGTGTCATCAGCAGCCTTCTTCAAAATCACCAAATACACATAGAACCCTATGTAAGTCTGCTGTTAATGTATTTGGTTAAATAATTTATGTTTTGTAGGTATGTTGAAGTTTTGTATGGTGACCAGTCTTTATCATCATGGATGCTACAAGAATCTCTTGGCTGTAATAACTATTACATTCCAATAATGATGCAAAACTGGAAGCATATCATGTGATTGGTTTGAACAGCAGATAGTACGCAAATTGGCATGACATCTCATTATTATTAATCCCTTACTCTTCATAAAATTTCCAGTTCCCTTTAATGATGTCTAAATCTTTGGGTAGTTTGAGTGCTATCAGTGGTTGTATGGAAAGAGCTAACTAAGTCCTACGTTTTCCTGACCTTTCTGTGCAAACTTGCAACCTTAGCATTTGAAAGGTATCCAGACTGATACATTCTATTCTGACCATTCATGTTCTATCTAATATTGTGCTTATTCTCTTCAGCTACAACAATTGATGCCATCTATTATTACCTGTCTTGCTGCAAAAAGATTAGGGAATAGATTTACTGACAACCACTGGGAACTTAGAAACTTCACAGCAAAGCTAGTAGCTTTAATATGCAAAAGGTGAGTATTCCCTTTCGTTTTTATTTATATATGTATTTGCATATACTGAAGTTCAAACTTGAGTTACTTCCGAATAAAAACTTTTCAACACAAGGAAAGCAAACTCATAATTTATCATAATTACCACTTTTGATTGTCTGAACTGAAGGTTGACTTCAAAGTTTGAACAAGAGTATTTCTTGATTTATTTTTTGTGTGGACACGTGGAGCCAAAAGATAAATGCGCTTATAGTGGAAGAGTTGTTTGGACTTAAAAAAACAGGTCTTTTCTAATTAGTAGATTATTCACTGTGCACCTCTTGTTTTACATTGGTTCCTTTTTTTAACCATGTCCACTTGGGTGTGCTCCACAAATCGGTTGGATGCAAGGAGGATTCAAGTTCATGTTTGATATAATAATTTCTCCCTTTTTTAGATTCTAATAATGATTTCTCTTTTTTGTTTAGATTCTATTATATTTCTTCATGATTTAAACAAAATTGCAGATTTGGGCATGTTTATCACAATCTTCAGCCCCGTGTAACAAGAACTCTACTTCATGCTTTCTTGGACCCATCAAAAGCCTTGCCTCAACATTATGGTGCAATTCAAGGGCTAGCAGCCCTAGGACCCAGTGTGGTATTTCCTTTTCTCAAATAGCTGTTATAAATAGCAAGCACTTGTTTTGTGATAAAGTGCAGTTTGTGATTCAATCACTTGAACCACTTGCTCTAGTACATCAAAAAAAGTGCAGTTTGTCATTGAAGTTTGTGATGTTTTTGCGATCTTTATTTTAGCTTTTTTTTTTTCCTTTTCATTTCTTCTTTTTGAACTCTTTTATTTGTTTGTTTGCACCATCCTGTTACTCTGTCTGGCTTTGATATATTTAGTACTGTGTGTTGGTGTTTGGTAGGTTCGACTGCTTATTCTGCCAAATCTTGAGGCATATTTGCAACTTCTTGAACCAGAAATGACACCTGAGAAGAAAAAAAATGAGATGAAAAAGCTTGAAGCTTGGCATGTTTATGGGGCCCTGCTGGTGAGTTTGTTTTCCAGTTTGGTATGAACCATGTGTATGGATTTTCATTTCACATGGGTACAGAGTGGAACTAACAAATCTCTAAACCTTCCAGCGTGCGGCAGGTCTATGCATGTATGATCGGCTCAAAGTATTCCCTAGTTTGCTAGTCCCCCCACCTTGTCCCATTAAGAAAAACAGTGTAAAAGTCACTACTACAATGCCAAGTATGACTTCCTTGAACTTATTTACTGAATATTGTGTACATATATGGATGGTGTCTGTTTTTTTCTATTTTCCAACACAAATTGTTGTCATGTGCATGCTTTTTGTTTCTGTTTCTTCTTGGGATTTGGAGTGGGATAGGTTTTTTTTTTTAAAGAGAATGGAGTGAGTAAGTCTTGTTAGGTCAATTTTCTATCTGCTTCATGGCTGTTTTAAATGAACAATGATTCTGCTGGCCAATATGGTCATAAAGGGCTTTATGATTAGGTTTAAAACATCAAGGTGAATGCTTTTCTATAGATTCATGCATAGAAATTATTGGTGCAATTTTCACCTGATTAGACTGTTGTTTTCTTGCAATTCATATATATGATTTACTGGAAAGAGAAAAAACTTGGATTTCTGAATTGTGTATTATAGTCCACCAAATGCATGCATATACAAGTCTATGAGTCTGTTTCAGCTTTTACAGGTTTTGCTCTAATGGAAAGGAGCATGACATAGATAACTTCTTCTTCTTCTTCTTCTTTTTTGTGTGTGTGTTTGAGTTAATTTGAAGCCATTTGCAAAGATTCTCTGAAAACTTCATATTGATCATTGGCTTACCAGGCTTTCTACTTTTGGTGAGAATTTGCTTTTCTTCTCTTTCCTGATATATCTTTCTTTTTCTGATCAATCAAGATAAACGAAAAGCAAGCGCAGACAACTTGATCCAGCAACCGCCACTTAAAAAACTAGCTACAGATACTGGAATTGGTGTTATGCCAATGAACTCTATGCCAGTTGATATGCAAGGTGTGGTAGGGGGTGGATTTCCTAATGCTATGGGAGGTTCCAGTGTTGGTATATCATCAATGTCACGGCATCCATCCAACAACAACATATCAGGAAGGGAGACAGGTGATCAAGTTTTAAAGACATCGGCTGTTCTAGCTCAAGCTTGGAAGGATGATGCTGATGCAGGGAACTTGTCAGCTTCGTTGTTCGAACTTTTTGGAGAGAGCATGTTAACCTTTACCCCCAAACCTGAGCTATCCTTCTTTCTTTGAATAGTCACCAATCAATAGGAATTACCGTTCACAAACATGAGTATAATGTGTAAAATTATCTCCTTTTATTTTCTCTTCATTTTCAAACAATAATTTTATTGTATATATGATTCTAAGCTAATCTAGAGTGTACCCCATTTTGTTTGAATTTCTTTTATTGAGTTCAATGGATTCAAAACATGGTATCTTCTTTTCATGGTCCAATTTTGTTGGGTTTCCGGAGGTTTCAATTCTTTGATTTTGACCTCAGAATTAAGTAATATTACAATGATCTAGTTACATAACTGAACTGCAAATTATCTTCCAACACTTTTCACAGTGAAAGTCGGATAAATTTTCTTTATCATACTATAGCCATTGAGAATGGAAGGCATGCCAAAATAATACCTACAATCACTTAATTGAAAACAACCAGCTATGTGAAGTTGCAATCTGGTGGTTTCAATCATGAACAATTTATAAGGGACTAATTTAATGCGAACACCATGCGAGGATAGCAGGGGAAACAAACATGGAATTCTACTAACATCTTAACCTACTTGAGGCTCAAAACCATTTCATCACTGAATGGAAAAAAGCATAGAGTGAAAAGAAAAATGAAATGCTCAAGAAGGTTAGAAGAAGAGCTTTCTAGGGGATGGTCTGGATTGAACAGATGATGCTGAGGCAGGTGACTTGAGGGGAAGGGGCATTCCCTTGGATTCTTGACCACCTGCCACTTTATCAGCAAGTTTTGCTGCCTTTGGATCTGTCAATAGTGTCTTCTGGAATGACTGTGAGAACCCTGTTGCAATAATAGTGACATGGATCTCCCCGTTGTAGCGCTCATCCACAACAGCCCCAAATATAATGTTTGCAGAAGGATCTGCCAAACTTGTTACAACCTGAAAATTCAAGGTGCATATTTCAAACAGGTGTATTTGAATACCATCAAGAATGAGAATCACCACTAATATTAGAATGATGCTAGGCATGCATGTACCTCAACCTTAATAGAAAGAATAGTAAATTTTCCTAAAAATTCAAATATTTTCTGATTTACTCCCCACTTTTTAACTTCTTATTTTACCTATTGTATCACGGCTAGAACTCTCCTAATCTGTCATTATCAATCACTCTGTATTGCTCATGTATACACTTACACCTCAAGGTATCTCCAACAGCATTGACCAGGCTTTCAGATGAAAAGTGTTATTTATCAGCAAATCTAGAAGTACCTGGGATACCCTGTTCACTTCTTGCAAGGTTATATCCTTTCCTCCAGTAATATTATATACTACTCCAGTGGCTGATTGAATTGATGATCCAATCAGTGGAGCCAAAGTTGCCTGTTCAGCAGCTTCTTCTGCACGGTTTTTGCTTGAGGATACCCCCACTCCCAGCATTGCAGTTCCAGAATCTTTCATAACTGCCTTAACATCTGCAAAATCCACATTCACCAATCCAGGTATCTGCCAAAGAAAGAGGGAGAAGAAATTTAAATTATATGACATAATAAATTAAAAATAGAAAATTATATATAAACCCAGCACTGAAATCAAACTCCTCTCATAAATTATGTGTTCTGAATCACAGACCACACTTGGAAAAACATGCACTTTCATGATAGCTCTCTCCAGTTCAGTCATGACCACAGTTTGAGAAGAGGTGGGGAATCCAAAGACCACTCAAGTCAAGTAGGACTTTCAATAATAACTACTGGGAAGTTGGAAACCACCACATACTGGGTGGTGAAATAAACAAACATTAACAATAGTGCATAAAACAATCATGCACAATTCACTGGTTATTATTAATTAATATTAAGCACTGGTTAACTAAATAGTCATATAGAACCTCAAATTACAGATAAAATAGAAGAAAATTTGTTAGCCTTTGACAGACCGTGATTATATCTGAAATTCCTTGTACTCCTTGGCGTAGAACATCATCAGCAAGAAGAAAAGCATCCTGAAGGGGTGTCTGTTCATCAGCAATGTCAAGAAGTCGGTCATTGGGTATTACTATGAGAGTATCAACATTCTTCTGCAACTTCTCAATAGCCTCTAGTGCCTGCAAAGATCAGATACAAGACAACTATGTTAAAATATGAATGATAGAAATGTTGGCAAATTTGGCAGATACCATCATCTAATGAACTTAACTAAACCAAAATGCACATGCCTGCACAGATCTTTTACGTCCTTCAAAGCTGAAAGGATAGGTAACCACACCCACAGTCAAATAACCAGCTTCTTTTGAAATTTGAGCAACAACTGGGGCAGCACCTGACCCAGTACCTCCACCCATACCAGCAGTTATAAACACAAGATCTGAGCCCTTAAGAGCATTTGCAATGGCTTCTTTTGATTCTTCTGCAGCCTGTTCCCCTAAAAGAGGATTTCCTCCCGTCCCTACATTATATGCTCAATTGATTCATGCCAAATAGCACAACAAAAACCTCACAAATAGGAAAAAGAGAAATAGAAAAGAGAACAAAAACTCCAGTAGATCTGTATGTCCTTTATACTTTAATCTTACATTATATTATAAACATGCAGTCATGCGTAAAACACAAGAATGGTTTTTTCTTGATCAAATCAGAGTGCCTAACCTAGTCCACGGGTCAGAAGCTCTCCAATTTGAAGTGGGTTCCCTGCTGCAGACTGTAACAGTGCTTGAGAATCTGTGTTTATGGCATAGAAATCAACTCCCTAATCCCAAAGAAAAACATGTAAAGCATCAGTAATTGTTTAGGTGGAAATAAATCATCTTGATATTGTTCAGAATGTTCAAAACCATGATTCCCCAGATTTACTAAATCACTAGGTGCATCTCAAGATTGGTTACTTGTGTCAATCACCAAATGCCAACAACATAAGACTAGCATTAACAATAAACTTTTCAGGTAATATAGCAGAAAGGAAAACCATAGCCAGCAATCAGACTTGTAAACACAAGTTCTTGACTAATTTAAGCATCATTATATATGTGACAATAACACTATTGAATTACACTAGAAAATTCTAAAAATTTTGGCTTCAGTTTTCATACAATAGTCACCCACAGTCACACACACAACATGTTTTTCAATAATATGACCACTGAGAAAGAAAAGGCTTAGATTTTAACAAGTAAAATCTTTCACAATTGAAAATAATAAGTAAAAACCCACCCTCAATTCACTTTGCAAATTGACAATATAAGCTTAAAAGCTGCAAGAAACCTGGAATATACAACATGGTACCGTGTAATAAGCAGATAAGCCCCACAAGAAGAACCCAATACCACATTCAGCCACATTAACAATGACAAAAAAGGAGCTAATTTGAAGGCATAAAAAAGACCAAAAATTTATCAAATTTCTCTACAGAAACCGCAGAAGGCATTTAGAAGAATCAAAACCTTACCTGCAAACCACTGCCAATCATGCGATTAACGGCATTGTTACCACCGCCACCAACGCCAACCACCTTTATCTTAGCAGTCTCCATTGGAGCAAAAGAGCAGACTATTCCCTCAGACTGATGGCGTCTCCAGACGTTTCTCCTAATGGGTTTTTGGAAGAAACATGGCCTGGAAGACAAAATTTTTTTCTGGTGAAATGATGCTGACAAAAACTCATTTGGGTTCGTGACTTGAATTGTTGCCATTTTTGTCAGCTAAAAATGAAGCAAGAATTTTGGGTTTGGGGTTTTTAACACAGAGAAAGAGAGGTTTAAGGTTTTAGGGGTCAATTCTTGTTTTCATTTGCGGGAAGATTGCATTTTCAGAGACGACGACACACTCTTTGGTCTAGAAAGCAATGACCTGATTCAGAAGGAAACTCCACAAACGACGTCGTATCTCACTTTTTTTTTTTTCCTTTTTCATTTTTCATTTTTAAGATTAAACATTTAAAAAAAAAAATAAATCCTGATATTTGAAAAACTGTTGTAATTTTGTGATTTATAATCTAATACACTAAAGGATGAACTTATATAAATCTTATATATAATAACTCTTATAAAAAATTGTGATCATCTTTATCTTCATTATGAATATGAATGATTAAGATTTATCTACTTTTTTATTTTACTATTTTAATTATCCCCTTATCTGAAAAATCATGATTATGATTTTATATAAAACTAACTTTGTATATAAGATCCTATATATATATGTATATATTTAAGTAAATTTTGTAATTTATCATCTAATATCATTACTTTTCATATTCGTTTGACAACACTTCTTGATATTTTAGCTTTTGATTTTTATGTTTTCTTACTATTTTAAAAATGTATAAAATATATTTTATATATTTTTAGAGTGCTAAAAAACTAAAAACTATAACTAAAACTACAAATTATTGTTGTCAAACTAAATCTTTCTCTTTCATATCGGCTTCTCATCTTTTGTTTTACTTGAACATAAATCTAAATCTAAATTTATAGACGAAAAGAAAAACATACATCTAAATTCCAGAATGGAGAATACATGGAGAGTTTTAATTTTGTGATCTTTAATCTAATGATGCCTTATAGCTGGTATTCCCCATTCTGGAATTTAGATTTATGTTTCATGATATAAAAATTCCGGATTGAGAATCCAGGAAAAGCATTTCGTCCACAATGGAGGGGTTGAAAAAACACGATGAAGAAAGAAAACATTTTCCAAACAATTATTTTATCAAAATTATATAATGTGTGATAGAACATTGCCAACTCTTATGAAAATGAATGAAGATGTGGTCAAGCACCAATGGCAAACCACCACAAGGTTTCATGATCCAATAAGGATTACATACACGACTAAACAACTAACATGAGAAGCTAACAGAATGATCCACGCAAACTATTCTTCTGCAATCAAATCCACAATCCATGTTGACAGTTTCACTGACAAACTGTGATGGGGCTTTACTCCCCTTCACTCAGAATGGGGACGATAAGTGGTTTCATTTGCGCAAGGTATACAATTGCCCACCTGCAAAGCCAAAGAATTAGTATAAAATGGAGAAACATGATGAAGATAGGTATTTCTCAAAGTAGCACCAATCTAAAATTGTGTTGAATTTCTCAAGAACACAACTCATCAAAAAAGTTGTGTGCTTCATGCAAAAGAAATGTAAAATGCCAGCTATATAGTATCATTTTTGAATGATGTGCCTACATTCACAATATAGAGTAAAATAAAGGCACTGAGACAAGTATTAACTTCTCAATCTGAGAGTCCCAAGCCATGTTAGAATTTGTATTCCTTGATAGATATTAGCTAATGAGAATTTGTACATCCACATTGTTCCACAGTTGTTATGTAAAACAAAACTGTCGTCAATAAACTCACATATAACTCACATACATTATACGTGTAATGAATCAACTGAAAATAGAGGGTCCATCATTTCACCAGAAAATTCCCAAGAATATAGCCATTTCTTACTTGTTAGAAACACAATAAGTCAATGCACAAAAACTTTTTTAAGAACTCTAGCATGATACAAGGTATTCCCTTTAGTGAATTTGTGGCCTAAAAACTTCTAATGAACAAGCTTAGATAATTGATTTGATCAGTTTCAGTTAAGTTCACTTCAAACACATACCTTTGTATGCATGACCATGAGAAACAAGAAAATGTCGTATAGTATATTGAATCAATTTGGGATCAATCTAGCAGATTCATAAATGAAATATAACAAATGCGATTATATCACAGCTGATACAATATATTTTCCTAACACCAAGTAATATAACCATGTAACAAGAAATTCACTTTTTTGTCAACTATGATGCAAGCAATGCCTCATGTGGCTACAAACTAGAGTTGAAGCAGAAAGGATATGCTTTGGGCTAGAAGATAATAAACCAAGAGACTACTTCACAAATGGCATCAATCTTAGGGCATTTAAACAAAAATCAAGTAAAATACCAAAGGAGAGAAAATTTGAAAACAAACATGAACTTACATCATCCAACAACAGACTGTTGCTGTAATAACCAATGTTAGGTGCAATCTGCATCAACGAGAATAGTTAATGGTCATCCAAAGATAAAGAGGAACAATGATTCAAAAGAGGTAATGTTCTAATCAATAGAAAAGAACAAATTCACATAAGATCTATATGATAAAAAGCCTAATTATTTAACATTTAACCATTTAATGACAAAACAAACCGTGCCTGACTCGAGAGCATGCAAAATAGCTAGAATACAAATTACATACAGACATAAATATTTGAATAAGGATGAACATAAAAAGAAAAGAAAAGAAAAGAGAAGTTATGGCTTTAGACCAGGCATTCTCACCATTGTTGATCTAGGCTACAATGTAATTCAAAAAAATAGAAAACAAGGAGAAACATCAAACTAGATCAACATTTTAGTATGCGAATCAAAGTAAACAGAATCATCTAGGCAAATACCAATAAGCAAAAAACCAATACAAGGGCTCGCCATTAATGTTCTTCAAAAGTAATCAGTCCCACTGAAATCATGATGGAGATTTGAAATACTCAATGACTTAAAAAAAAAAACCTAAATTTTGTCTAAGTTTCACCAATCTATATACTGATGCTACTGACAGCCTAATTAACAATATCAATCTGTAGGACAGGCAATTTCAACAATTTCCATGAATTGGATCAGAAAACCTTAACCAAGTTCAATTTCAATTTCAATCCCTTGCTACCACATCATGACATTATGAAATCAAGATCCACATAACCCCACCAACAAAGAATGAATCTTTAATCACAACCAAGATCTTAAAATCTAGAAACTTAAGAGAAAATTATAATTGGTGGAAAGGGACATACAGATTAGCAGATGGCCCTCTGTTACAGCATATTCTGGTGCAAAGCGATGCAATAATCCCAATCACCACGAAAATCAAGGTCGTTACCAGGAAACCCATATCCGATCCGGATTCGAGACAAGTTCCTGCGATGAAAATTGGGGATTTCAACTCGATTTGAGACTAAAAATCTAAACTTTGAAGCTAAAAAACAATATCGGATGAGAAAAATACTATGCCAACGATTGTTTGGTTGCAGAGAAAAATGAAGAACAAAATTTGTATGTTCTTATTTCAGGATTCCGAAGCTTCCTTCCTTCCTTCAGCCTCACCTGGGCAATTGCAGGATCTCAATTTATTTTTTACTGTGTAGATGAGTGGTCCATGCCATCTTTTTGGGCCAACTCAAGTAGTTTTTTGGGCCAGACTGGAAAAATATGGATAAAATCGGCCCAAAAATATAGTGTAGAAGAGTTGAGCCTCCCAGAACCCAAAAGAAAAGAAAGAAAAAATAATCCTCCTAAGTCCTAATTTAAGAGTCCAGTGTCTACATATAATTGATTTTCAGAACGTTCTTTTACTTTATACATGAGTGCACCGTACCAACCATACTTAATTTGAGTAGAAAAAATTTAATTTTTTTTAAATAATATTTTAAGTTTGACTCTTAAAAATAGAGAAACAAATACAAAGAGAATTTTTTTTTATAAGTTAACCTCAATTTTAAATTAATTAGAATTCAATATAATTTTTATATATTGAGAGATTAAATAAAAAATAAATAGATAAATAAATAAGAGTGTGTCACCCCGCAGATAATTGATTTTCACATTTGTTGCACCTCAAGCACTACATTCACAAAAATTCTTAATCAAAATATTTAAACTGTGGAATTTCAAAATTAGACTAAAACATAAAGTCATAGACAACATTTCAACTAATAAAAGCATAAACTGAATTTAGAGTTAGAGTTCATCCTCTTTTAACTTTGTTCTACTCCAATCGAAGTTTACTTCATTTTGCTTTGGAAAAATGCCCCGCTGGAGGGGTCCAGTCAAATTCTGGCAAAACTAACCACATTTCAAGCGCAGTTCACTTTTTAATAATCTTAAGTCAAAGTAAAATAAATTGAGTTTGAATCATTTACACTTTGCAGTAAATTGGAATTTTAATTTATTTGATTCAAATTTAAAAGTTGAGGGACTAAATTTGTATTTTAAATTTAAAAAAATCTTTTTTAATCTTTAAACTTATTCTAAAATAATATTTAAACCCTTAAACTAAAAATAAATAAATAAACCCCTTTAATTTCACTTTTAATGTAAATAAACCCTTCTCCCAAATGCCCAAAACGATATTTCATATTTATTATCACTAACATCCTTGAATAAAAAGGACTTTTATATCAATTTTTATATTTTTTTTACATATATTTATAATAAAAAAATATAATAAATACACTTAATATGTAATGCACTGATAAAAAAAACCCTTTTTTTAAATAAAAACTTTGCATTAGCCTTTTTTTTTTCCCGAAAGTTAATGTCTTTACTAAAATAAAATAAAATTACACATGTTTCATCCATAACTATTTAACTGACAAATAAACTCCACCATGCTACTTGATGGGTCACGCGCCTCAATAAGAAAGGTGAAAGATCATTTATTTTGAGAATCGAATCAAACAGTTGTTAACATTTCCTAATTTAATTACTAACCATAATTTTTTTTTTAAAAAAAAATTTCAACTGACAAATGTCACAAGACCAGTCAATAAAGCCAGAGAAATTGTCTAGTTGATAGCTTCGTGTCAAGGGTAAAATGGTAATTCCAATAAAAGTAGAACCCTATCAGCCTATCTTCTCCAACTACGCAACCGTAATCATAACTGTTTATATACTTGTATTCTGCTTTTTCTAACCTCAATCTTAAAATAGTCTGCAACAGCAACTTCTTTTAGCCATGCCATTTTAGTTCCTTGGTTCTGTGATGGAGATGACATTTTCAAAAAGATTAGGAATACCGACAC